AAGATAGTAAAAAGTGATTTTTTGGCTTTTAATTAAGTTTTTGGTTTTTTTAGACAAATAATTTGAAAAATTGGTAAAAAGTGACTTTTGACTTTTTTTTATTAATGTTTGTTTATGATGTCAAATCATAATAAAATGACCAAACTACCCCCATTTATGTAAAATATTTACGACTTCACCTATGTAACACATTTTGACCAATGAGGGTAAAATTGTAATTTCACCGTTGGCTAAAAACCAACTTCCCAAATGAAAAAAAAGACAAAAAAGCCAACTTTTAACTTTTGCTACAAACAAAAAAAAGTGATTTTTAGCCAACTTTCCAAAATAGCCCTATGTATACTCTTTTGAAAACCTTTATCTAATGGGTTCCACTTGCGTTATTTAACTTAGGATTGGGATCTGGATTAGGGCATCCGCAGTGAAATTGTTACGGAGAATTTTAGTATTAGTTGATAAATTTTAGTTAGCAAAGTGTGTTAGTGGGTGTTGCAATAGATCAGTTAGTATATGTGTTAGTGGTGTGTGTTAGTCACGTGTGTTAAAAAATTTATTAACTGCAGCTAGCGCTTTAACTAGCGCTTGAAAGTGTTTTGTTTGTCTTCCCAGTTGACCGGCTAGACATTCAGTCGGTTGACCCGGTCAACTGAATTATTATTATTTTATTTTATTTTATTTTTACATGTTGGGATTTTTTTTGACTTAAAATTTAATTTTGGGCTTGAAGTTTTTGATTAAATTAAATTATTTATTTATTTTATTTATTATATACATACATATATATTTATATATTTAATACACACTTTAACACACCCCTTAATACATCCATTGCACCACCACTCACTCTCTAAAATTAACAAACTTTTAAAACATCTTAACAAACATTTTTAGGCCCCACTTTTATCACCTTTTGTCATATAACACACTTTAACAAATAATTTTGGCTATCCCATTGTGGATGCCCTTAGTTTTTTCACTTTTTATTTTTTAATTATTTTATTTTAAAATTAAAAAAATCTCATTTGAGATGAGTTTTTTGAGTTTTTTTAACTTTTATAAGAGAAAAAATAAAATGATTATAATTTATTTTTTAATTATTTTATTTTAAAATTAAAAAAGTATCATTTGAGATGAGTATTTTGATCTTTTTTAACTTCTATGAAAGAAAAAAATATAATAATTATGAGTTAGATGTAATATTTTATCTTATTAAATTAAAAAATTTATTTTATTTTTTTATGATTAAAATAGTCAAAAAGCCTCAAAAAAAATTTTGCCAAACGAATTCTAAATGGTAGAGCCATTAAAGCCAGTAGAAAATAATATTTCTTTATGGGGTTAATTATCTTTTTAGTTTGTAAATATATGATTTGTATCATTTTAAACTTTAATGTTTAAATTATGTCAATTTAATCTTTATGTATAAAAATTATTTTGATTTGATCTCCATATCTAACTTTGTCAGTTGATTCCTTTAAATCTAATGGTAAATATAAAAACTAAATTAAAAAATCACTCTTTAAATTTCTAAAATACGGGATTTGTGACCTTTACTTTTTAATATTTAAATTATGCCAAGTTAATTTTAAATATAAAATAGTGTTTTAATTTGGTCCTCAATCCTAATTTCTTCATTTTCTCAATCTTAATTTCTTCGCTCTCTCTCTCTCACTATAAGAAAAGTGAATTTATGAGACGGAACTATTTGCGACAGTACACTTGCCGTCTCAAAAAGTTACTTTTTGCGATGGTAGAAAATGTCGTCTAAAAAAAGTAGAGTATTTGCGATGGTAGAAAATGTCGTCTCAAAAAAGTAGAGTATTTGCGACGGCAGAAAATGCCGTATCAAAAAAGCAGAGTATTTGCGACGGCACAATTTGTCGTCTAAAAAAATGAGAGTATTTGCGACGGCAGAAAATATCGTCGCAAATACTGTCATTTTTGAGACGGCAAATTGTGCCGTCGCAAATACTCTGCTTTTTTGAGACGGCATTTTCTGCCGTCGCAAAAAGTGACTTTTGTGTTTTTTTTTTTTAGTGAATATTTTTAAAATTTTAAATATTTTTTTAAGATGCACCTTACTTAGATGTATCTAAAAAAAAAATTATGATTTTTTTTTTAAAATTAATAAATACATAAAAATACAAAAGAAAATGTATTGAATTATTGTATTTTTGGTATTTAGTGAACTTTAAAAAGATTTTTTTACAATTTTTTTTAATTTTTAGATGTATTTATGTTAGGTGTGTCCAAAAATTACAAAAAATACTTTAAATATTAAAAAAATTCAGTAAAAACAATATAACATGGAAACAAGAAAGTATAATTTTCTCAAAACAGTTTTTGGAAAACTCTAACCTAACATAGTGATTGTGGTTTTGAGACAGCTTCATATATATACAATCACAAAATGGTTTGAATAAATTCAACGGTATTTTTCTATCGCAAAAAAAATTTAAAAAAACAATGTCGTCATACTCTTTTGATATAACATTTCTCTTTTCATTTATTTTTTCATCTTCTTGTCTCTCTGTCTCTATCTCTCTCTCTCTTCTCTTTATCTCTTTCACTCATCACTCTTCTTTCTCTGTCTGTTTGTTTCTCTCTCTCTATCTCTCGCATCTGTTTTCTCTCTTTATCTCTCTCGCTCATCTCTCTTCTCTCTATCTCTCTCATTTCTTTTCTCTCTCTCTCTCTTATCTTTCTATCTCTCTCGCTCATTTTTCTTCTCTCTCTGTCTCTCTCTTTTTCTGTGTCTCTCTCTCGCTCATCTTTTTTCGCTCTATTTCTCTCTTTTTTTTGTCTATCTCTCGCTCATCTCTTGTTTCTCTCTTTTTTTCTATCTCTCCTTCTCTCCATCTCTCTCTCTCTCTATCTCTTTTTCTGTCTATCTCTCTCTTTCACTGTCTCTCTCTCACTCATCACTCTTCTCTTTCTCTCTCTCTCTGTCTACTTGTCTATTTGTCTATCTCTTCCTCACTATGTTCGCCTTACTCACTTTCTTACTCTCATATTCTCTATTTATCGAGCTCCTTCTCGATGTATCGATCCACTACAAACAATGTCGTTTTACTCTTTTGAACATTTCTCTTTTCGCCCATTTTTTCATCTTCCTATCTCTCTGTCTCTCTTCTCTTTCTCTCTCTTACTCATCATTCTTCTCTGTTTGTCTCTCTCCCTTTTTCTATGTGTCTCTGTCTCTCTTCTCTCTCTCATCACTCTTCTCTTTCTGTCAATCTCTCTCTTTCTCTCTTCTCTTTCTCACTCTGACTCATCACTCTTCTCTATCTGTCTGTCCATCTCTCTCTTTCTCTCTATGTCTCTCGTCCATCTCTCTTCTCTCTATCTCTTTCATATATCTTCTCTCTCTGTCTCTCTTCTCTCTCTCTTATTTTTTTCTCTCTTACTCTCTCGCTCATCTCTTTCTGTCTGTCTTTCTCTCTTATTTATCTATTTTCGCTCTTTTTTTTCTCTCTGTCTCTGTCTCTCTCTCTTTGTCTATATCTTTTCACCCATTTTTTCATCTTCCTCTCTCTCTTTTCTTTCTCTCTCTCATTCATCTCGCTTCTCTCTCTGTCTGTCTATTTGTCTCTCTCTCTCTCTGTGTCTCTTATTCATCTATCTCTTCTCTCATCTATCTTCTCTCTTTGTCTCTTTCGCTCATCTCTCTTCTCTCTATCTCTCTCACCCATTACTACTGCCATCGTCACCACTTCACTACCACTACTACCACTACTACCACTATTGTGTAAATATTGATCCACTGTTTCTCTCTTTCTCTCTATGTGTCTGTCTGTCTGTTTGTCTCTCTTCTCCATTGTGTTCACCTTGCTCACTCTCTCCCTCATCTCTTCTTTATTTACTGAGTTATCCACTACAAGAAAATGCACTTTTAGCGACCACTTTGTCTCTCTCTCGCTCATCACTTTGTCTCTGTCTGTCTGTCTCTCTTTCTCTCTCTTTCTCTCTCTCTCTCTTCTCTATTTGTCTCTCACTCATCTCTCTTTCACCACCTATCTTCTCTACCACATTCACCACTACTACAAATGTCATTCCATTACTACCACTGTTGTCACCCCACCTCTATAACTATCATTACTACCATTATCGCTACCACTCTACTACCACCACTACTACTACCATTACCTCTCCTCTACCACTGCTATTCTATCTCCTCTACTACTACCACAACTTCACTACTTATCCTCTTCACCATCACTACCACCACCATTATCACCTCTTATCCACCACTACTGCCACTTTCTATCTTCTACCACAAATATTAGTTCTTGATTTTTAGTAACAAAAAAAAAAAAAAGGGTCACAAAAAAATATTTTTCATTGACCACAAAAAATTAACTTTATTTTAATGGAAAATATTGTTCCTACTTTTACCAAATAAAAAAAAAAAATTTTTATTCATTAAAATAAATATAAAACAAATAAATTTTTAACTTTACCAAATGAAAAAAAAAAATCATCAACTAGGGTTTTGTTTGAGAACACACACACAACACAAACACAACAGAGCCGTCTCCTCTCCTCCTGTTCGCTCTCTCTCTCTCTCTCCATCTAGGGTTTCGCCTTCCTCTTTCTCTCTCTTTCACACAACGACGGCGCCGATCATCCGTCACCGCCGATCCTCCCTCACCCCCGATCCTCCCTCACCGTCACTCGTACCTCACTGTTGATCCTCCTCCCTTACCGCCGCTGCTGCCTCCCTCTCTCTCTCTCTCTCTCTCACAAACGACGTTGACGGTTGCTCGCCCCTCACCGCCACTCCTCCCTCGCCGGCGATCTTCCCCCACCGCCGATTTCAAAGGGTATCTCTCTCTCTCTCTCTCTCTCTCTCTGTGTGTCGGGATTTCGGATATAGGGGGTTTTCATACACACACACACACACACATATATATATATATATACATACACATCTGTGAGTGTATATAGGGGGTTTTTGATCTGTTACATATAGGGTTTTGTGATCTTGCACTCTTTCTTTGGTGATTCTTAACTTGTGTTGTTATAAGATCATAATTTTATGGTGATATATGTGCATATATGAATAATGTGATGTTTCTTCTTGAATGAGAGTGTAGATTCTTGTTGGGTCTTTGATGATGCATTTGGGTTTTGATTTGTTTTCCCTGATTCTTGATCTGTAAATATTTCCCCCCTTTTACCTTCTCTCTCTTTCTCTCTCTCTCTCTCTCTATATATATATATATATTTATATCCTTTTCTTTGGTGTGCAGTACAGGCAAATGCTTTGATTCGATAGTTATCTGTTTGGTTTTAGCGTCCTTTCTTTTTAATGCTTGGATAAGTTATTTGATCTTTCTTCTTTGATGAGATGAGTCATTGGTATACTGTCTAAGATTTGTTTCTCTCTCTCTAAAGTTTCTATCTTTATTGGAAAAGGGAATTTGTATGGTATGTCAGGTGTTAGACTTTTGATGTTTTGGGCATAAAACAACAAGGTGCACCAATTTCTTTAGATGCCCATTTTGATACGATTTTGTGGGTAAGTGGGTTGAGGTTTTATCTGTTAAGTTCTTGTCTTGTAGGGTTCTTTTAGGGTTTTAATAAAGAGAAGGAAGGGTAGGCGATTAACATGCTCATTCTCGCTCTCTTGCCTCCTTCTAAATTGGCCGCTTCAGATGTTGTTCTTTCACATACTGGGGTGTACTTGTTAGATCATTTTGATGTTCACCTGTATCCTGTTTACTGATGTTCTTTGGCTCAGGTTTAAAAAGCAATGCCCATTTTAATGTTTGTGTGTGGCCTGGTAAATTGAAACTCGGTTCCTCCAAGATAGTTTGAATTTTGAAACTTGTGTGGCCTAGCATTGTTCATTTAAGGATTTTCTTTTTAATCATTACTCTCGCTTTTCTAATTTATACATATGTGTTTATGTGTATGTATGATTTATTCAGAAAATTAAAATCCTACTATTATCCAGTGACTTGGATGTTCCTCTTGTTCTCTTCACTTGGCTTTTGTGTAGTAATAAACTTGATTTGATGAATGTTTAGTTTTGGAAAGGATCATTCTGTTTGGATGTTCCTCTTGTTCTCTTCACTTGGCTTTTGTGTAGTAAAGGACATTGATTTAATGTAAAGGATTGCAATGCCATTTATAGTGCATTCTATTACATGTAATTTAAACACTGTTTATTTGTCTTCTTAGGATTTTTATTTATTGTTTTTTCAATAATCAAAAAATTGGTTTTAACACATAATTTTAGTTTGGATGCATTCTCTTTCTTAACCTATGCAATTGTAACCACTCATTATATTGCAGGGTTTCCTGTGGTGGCTGAAGCATTTCTCTTTGAAAACTATAATTGAAGAAGTTCTTGCACATCATTGCCAATTCTGAGAATCAGCTACGTCTTGGAGGTCTTTGACGACTGCCTTTATTTGGGTGTCTATGGTAATGTTCCCGGTTTTTAGAACATAATTTTCTTGCTTGAGTGTTTTGGATGCTTGCTGAGTTTCTCCATGACAATTAAAGAAAGTTATTCTTTTCCCCAAAATGTGATGTGTTATTGCACGAGTAATGGAAGGTTTAAACTTGAATGAGCTGGATTGTAAAACCTATGTTTGAATTATTTATTGCATTTTGCAGTGGTTAGTTAAAAATGCTTTGTGGTTGATTGGATTTTGTTGTTTTTTTTTGAGTTGGATGGTGACACATGTCTTGGTTTTGTGATAGACATCTTTTGCATCATGTTCTAAAATTCTCACCTAGGGCATATGTGCCAAACTTAGCACTTTGTTGTACAATGAATACTAAGATCCCTTTCAGTCAAAAAGGATATAAATTCAGAGCTTTTCTGTCTGTAGAATTCATTAATTGACATCAAGGAATATTCTCACAAACATTACTTGTTGGATTATTGTGGTAGGCAACCAATGAAAATCTTCCACCGAACGTCATTAAGCAACTTGCGAAGGAGTTGAAGAATCTTGATGAAACTCCTCCGGTAGGCATTAAAGTAGGTGTTAATGATGATGATTTTTCAATCATATATGCTGACATTGAAGGCCCAGGTATGTTATTTTCACTCAAACCTTGTATGATCATTAAAGGTATTTATTTTTTAGACTGGCCAAATATCAACCTTGCAGCTGGAACTCCCTACGAGAATGGTGTTTTTCGCATGAAATTGATATTGTCTCATGACTTCCCGCATTCCCCTCCCAAAGGTTTGTTGACGCTTATGAGTTAAGAGAATTTATTTCACCAAAGGTTGTGACATTTGTCTTTCCTTTGGCCTGTAAGTAGTTTAAATTGATTAAGGTGTGAACTTAAAGAAAAATTATATATTATATGTTGCAGGACTGCCATTTTTGACATGATTTTTACTCATGTAGTGTGATCATATACCATTCATAACCTGTCTTTTGTTTCTTTCAATCTAATCTTTCTATATTTCGTTCTTTTTTCCCTTTCTCATTCTTATCTCTATTTTTTTGATGGTCAGTAACCTTTCTATATTTCATACTTCACTACTCACAACTTGATGATTCTTTGTTTGCCTGTATCTTTAGATCCGGTGTATATATAGTTGTGTGATGATTAGTTTACTGTGCGGATCTATATATAGTTTTTGCATCCCCCAGCCCTTCTGTGACTGGTGGTAGAATGGTATCGTTATCACCGTCTCCCAGTGTATATGGCAGTGGAATTTCATATATTTTCTGAATATTGCTTGCTGGGCTTCAAGAATTTTGTTAATGTTTTGGCCATAGTTGGTGGAGTGAAGATTTGAAAAGGATTTAGAGAAGCATGGGCAATTGTGCCAGTTGATTTCCTGGTTAAAATGATCTTGTTGTCCACTCTTTATGGATTAGCATGCTCTGTGAAATTCTTGGCTCTCAGTCTGCTCTGTTGCAGTTTTTAAGATTTCTGTCTTTTCAAGAACAAATTATTCATCATCAATCCATTCCCATATGTTGAATCCTCTGTGAATTTTATTGTAGGTTACTTTCTGACTAAGATTTTTCATCCAAACATTGCAACAAATGGTGAGATTTGTGTCAACACATTGAAAAAGGATTGGAATCCAAGTCTTGGGTTACGACATGTTCTGATTGTAAGTTGATGTGCAGTTTAGAGTACTAGTTTTGTTTCACTTTGATGCAGAGACCAGTAATTTGTTGAACCCGTCAATCCTCTAGAGATTTTTGCATTCACGTGGCTTGTGTGCTGGTCCAATTATCTTCTCATTAAGCTCTTATGAACATGTACAGTTTAATTATTCTTTGTAAAATATTGAATTTGATGGTTTGATCAATTTTTATTTTTATTTTCTGTTATGATGTTTTTGTGAATGGAATGTAAATAATCAGCTCTTAGAGAGTGAGAGACGGCACCACCGTCGGAAAAAAGAGAAAATTTTAATATTTTTATTAATTTTGTTATAGGTTTTACTTTTTGCGACGACATTATACTGTCACAAAAAATAGAAATTTTATTATTTAAAATAAAAATTTTATTATTTTTTAATATTTTTTGCGACGGCATTACACTGTCGCAAAAAATAGAAAATTTCATATTTTTTATACTTTCTGCGACGGCACCACACCGTCGCAAAAAATAGTGTTTTTTTTTTTAAAAAAAAGACTATTAGCGACGGTATTTTTTTCCGTCTCAAATAACATTTTTAGCAACGGTAAAATAGGGCCGTCGCAAAAAAGTCAAGAAATTTCAAATTATTAGCGACTGCACGGTGCTGTCGTAAAAAGGTAAAAAATGCCGTCGCAAAACATTAGCGACGGCACTTACCATCGCAAAAACTCTTTTGCAACCCCTGCAGTTGCGACCCCCTCTTGCCGTCGCAAAAAGTCATTTTGCCGTCGCAAAAAGTATTAGCGACGGTATTTTACCATCGCAAAAAGTCAATTTTTTTGTAGTGTCTCTCTCTCTCAATTAGGGGTAAAGTTTAAAAGTTGTACATATAATCAGCGAAATATAAAAAATGAGAGCCAGCATTTTTGGAGAAAAGTATCTCTTCCACTACAAAAACATATAATTTTTTTTGTGATGGCAAGAAAAATTATCATCCCAATTTTACTTTTCGTGATGAAATGAGATTCTTGTTGTCAATGCATGATTTTACATTTCAACCTCGAAGAAGTGTGTGTTGCCATTGAATTACACTATTAGCTTTGAGTAGTTGAATCTTTCAACTACAAAATTTGCTATTGGACTTAACCAAGCTAAAAATAAGGTGTGGTTTGAGAAGGGTGACTAAATTAGTTATTAAAAGGATAAAATAGATTAAAAAATTAATAAGATAAAATGTCATATTAAAATCATAATTATTTTATATTTTCTCTCACAGAGCTATAAAAAAAAAGTCAAAAATTTTTTCCAAACAAAACTCTTTTAACCAAGTCAAAATAGTAAAAAAGTCCAGCCCAATTTTTTTTCTTTTCCCGGAAAGCTAAAAATGATAGACTCATTGCCCACATCGCAAAAATGACCCATAAGGATATAATAGTCATTTTCCTTTAACATACACCCTGTTTGTTTTGTTGATTAGAGGAGTTTGAGTGATTAATAAACATATGGAACTATATTTATTTGTTTTGTTGTCTTTGCCACGGATTTGAATTAGTAGTAAACATAATACAAATACTCTAATAGATAATCTCGTTCATAGTTCAGGGTATTACTTGAATCTTGAATCCATATTATATTTATCCAACGCTGGGGTCGACCCCCACTGGGGGGTCGACCCCCAGTGACGTGGCGGGTCTCCATTGGCCAGTTTTCTGTTTTTTTTTTTTTTTTCTTCCAATCCTGCAGTGCCACGTGGCACTAGGGGTCGGTGGGGGTGGGGTTTACTGGGGGTCCGACGCATTTTTGATATTTATCCCACAAAAGTAGGGGTGCACATCGGCTCACCCCGGTCCAGTTTTATATTTTTAAAGTTTGAAAATATTATTTTAGTTTATAGAATTGGATTGGATTAATATTTTCAGTCCAATATATTAATGGGACGAGTTTAAAATTTATATTATCAACTTAATCTGGCCTGGTCCACTATTAAATTAATTAATTATAATATATTAAAATATGTATTTTTTGTTGAGATGTAAACTTTATCTTTATTGATTTTATTAAAATTTACATTTTTTGTGATGCGTGATTGAATTTATTTAAAAAATTCTTTGATTTATATACAAAATCTTTCAATTTATAAATATGTTAATATATTTATTTTAAAAATATATTATGTGATTAAATTTAATTATAAAATATTTAATTTTTTTAACATATAACTTGATAGATGGATTTAAAATTTATAATTATTTTTTTATCAAATTTAGACAAATATAAAAGTTGGATATTAAGACCGGATGAAGTTAAATAGACACAAATTTTTTTAATTAAGAGCATCTCCAACGGTTCATTACTTTTTTCACTAAATTTGAGTAAAAAATAGCTGATTTTCTTAATCTGATACGGCTAACTTCAACGGTGTGCACCAAAAGGGAAGGGGTCATCTGGTTGGTCGACTGGTGGGTCGACCGGTAAGGCTTATGAATTTTTTTATTTTATTTTTTTCCCTCTTGATTACTCTTGTCAAAACCTTTTATTTGTTAGTAGACATTGCTAAGTAGTGAATTGAGTGTAACATTTGATTTGCATTCTATCTTGATTTTAATTTTTCAGAAACAACCCACACGAGTATTGAAAGGATCAGAATTACAGGCTCAATTGAGTCTTGTTCAAGAAGATCTTAAGAAGGCACAGGAGAAATTGGTTTTGGTTGAGAAAGAAAAAGCTCAGGTAAATGAAGAATTAAAAGAAGTCTAGAGATTGGTGGAGGAAGCAAATGAGAAACTGAGGGAGGCTTTGGTGGTTCAAAAACGAGCCGAAGAAAATTTTGAGATTGAAAAGTTCTGGGCTATTGAAATGGAACAAGCCAGAATTGAGGCATCTCAGAAGAAGGAAGAGGAGTGGCAGAAAGAGGTTGAGTCTATGAGGAACCAACATGAAAGATTGGCAGAGAGAGTGAGAGAGTTGTTGGTTGCTGTTGATGGCTAGCAAAGAGGATGAGAGATTAGAGGAGGGATTGCTCTTGGAAGATGGATTTCCATAGGTACTTTTGACGCTTTGATTCAAATTTCAAGATTGAGGGTCATCCGGGGGGTCGACCCTGGGATTGATCGGGTGGTCGACCTCCTAGTGTAAAATGTATACAAAATTTTGTGAAAATTGGTCATTCGGTCGGTCATTTGGTGGGTCGTTCTGTTGGTTATCCGGTAGTGAAAATGCAACGGTAATGAATAGTGTTTTAGTGAAAGACCCAGCGCATTCTCATTTTGGTGAAACTTTTGGTGAATTCTCATTTTGATATCCATTTGGTGAAACCATTGGAGTGAGAAAAAGTGACTTTTTCATCAAATTTCAAATCTGATGCAGGGTTTGATGCACTGTTGGAGATGGCCTATGTAGCATCAGCTCGGCCCGCATATGGCTGCCTCTACCAAAAAAAAAAATAAAATGTTGAGAAATGAAGCCAAAATGCATTGATTAGGAGGTAATTATTTATTAATCTTCTAGTACCAATGAGACGCTGTTTGTGTGGTAGATTTAATAAAGTAATACAATATTGAATCATCTTTATTAATAATTGAGAGGGTAATTTGTAAACAAATTGGGCCGAGCTAGGAAAAGTCTTCTTTGGAAGTTGGGCCGCGCAATGGGCCGAGATAAGGGCTGGTATAGCTCGGTCTTAGGCCAAGAAGACATCTCATATTTTGGATTTGGGCCGAACTATGGGCCAAGGTGTTCGGGTTTTGCAAGTTGGACCTCGTCCTTGTTAGTTCGGTCGGAGACTGCTGCAGTTAGCTCGGTCTAAACAGACAAAACCAAGGTAATATCAATGGCGAGGGCCGAGTTGTGTATAGCTCGGTAGGGTGGCATTCGATAGATCGGCTTTCGATCATACGGTCCGAATGGCAGGGGACCGAGACAAGGCAGTTCGGTCAGGAATGTATAACCAAGGTAAAGGGTTCAGCCATCTCACTTAGCTTGTAGTGATGAGACTCCTATGAGGACTCTGCTAAGGAGAGTAGAGTCCTACTGGGATTGTGCAAATCATCTCACTTGGTTAGTAGTGAGTAGGAGTATGACTCCTAGGAGGACTGTAACAACCCTCACCACTGATTAGTGCTAATCTATGATTAAGCATGTTAACTGACTGATTGACTGAAATTGGATTTGGGCCGAACTATGGGCCGAGGTGTTCGGGCTTTGCAAGTTGGACCTCGTCCTTGTTAGTTCGGTCGGAGACTGCTGCAGTTAGCTTGGTCTAAACAGACAAAACCAAGGTAATATCAATGGCGAGAGCCGAGTTGTGTATAGCTCGGTAGGGTGGCATTCGATAGATCGGCTTTCGATCATACGGTTGGAATGGCAGGGGACCGAGATAAGGCAGTTCGGTCAGGAATGTATAACCAAGGTAAAGGGTTCAGCCATCTCACTTAGCTTGTAGTGATGAGACTCCTATGAGGACTCTGCTAAGGAGAGTAGAGTCCTACTGGGATTGTGCAAATCATCTCACTTGGTTAGTAGTGAGTAGGAGTATGACTCCTAGGAGGACTGTAACAACCCTCACCACTGATTAGTGCTAATCTATGATTAAGCATGTTAACTGACTGATTGACTGAAATTCTGAATTGATTGATTGAGTGTATTAGTTTAAATACATGTCTATCTGTTTGACTGCTAAATCATATGTTCGTGTATTATGTTTAAACTACAAATTGAAGGCCTTATCGGCGGCCGAATCCGGAACTAATTATTGTTTTGTGTTAATTAGAATTTATATGATTTTATGGTATGTTTAATTGAAATTTGATTTTGTATGATTAAATTAGATTAAATAATGCTGTATTGCATTAGTTAGACTCATTTACCAAAATGCCATGTTAGTGGGCCATCTCATAAAACATTTGAGACTTAATTCATATCTCTTCCTCATCCATTCCTTGACCTAAAACCGACTACAGAAAGAGACTTGGAAGAAAATTGAGTTCAACTAAAAACCGTGCTTGAATTTAGAAGACTTGAAGAGGAGATTGCAAAATTAGACTCCCATACTTGAAATTGAAGACCTAAGGTAGGATATTCATCCTTTGGTTTATGAATTTAAGTTGTGACTTGCATGGTCCATGCT